GCAGCTGGTTACACAAACATTAGCTTTGCAAAACTCACTATTAGGAAAACGACAAAATGAAAAACTACTGTCCTTGAGTCAGTCAGGGGCGCTTGCAACTGTTGCAGCTGAGTTTCAAGTGAGTTGAAGGATGCTTTACATTGTGCAACCTGAGTGCAATTTTGTTTCATGTAGACTTTAGACAACTAAAGTTTCACCGTGTAAAGCCAGGCTAAGGATTGCACAATAAATCGCTTTTGTAACAATTCTTTGCTCTTATAACTATGTTATTTATACATCAGCCTTATATTAGTTAGAAAATAACTAATAGTGCTTAATAGTAATTACTGATAGTTCTAGTGCCCTATTGGGATTTCTAGTATTTTAGTGCTAAGTTAACACTGGTGGACCCAAAAAATGTTTTGGCCATTCTGGATTAAACACTAACATTTAAAGCATTCCATATGTTTTAGTTAAAGCTTATAACAGATATTAACATATACTTTATCATGTTGCAGTTTTACAGTGACTGTTTCAGTAAAGAGCCCTGGCACAGTGCTGCCACTGCTGTTTTTCATTTCTAACAACTGACTAAACCAATCACCTTGTAGGTAAAGGCCCCTCCCCTGTTGTGGAGATGCATGCATATATTTTGTGCATTGAGTAAAATGTTTAAAATAATTAGTGTTATTTTTCTTTAATACAGTGGAATTTTTGCATTTATAAGTCTCCTTCTGTTCAAAAAGATAGGATATCTATACCTAGTCTTGTATGGCTGGTAATATTAGCCCAGGGACATTGCTTGCCTCCACTTTCACTTCCTAATTATGTTGGCAATTCATCTAAAGTTTAAGGCCTTCTGACCAATGAGAGAGCTAGTGTTGCTGTATCTACTGAGATACATGGAGGAAAAAATCCTGATTGAACAATTTTCCATTTCAAGATTTTAACCGGCAAAATAGAAACAAAGCTTAACAATGAAAGAACCATATTACTACAATACTAATACAATACAGTTTAAATGCAACAAACTGATTATATTAAATAAAAATCAACTAAAAATTACAGATATTTTTAGTTCCTGATGATCTTTAGGCCTTCTCTAAAAACCAGTGACGAACCATGACTATAAGAGCTAGGCCTTCGTTTTGAGTCATAAATGTCAAAATTCTGTCATAACATTAGGACAAAACCCACCTCTACGATAATACTACCTTCTGCTAGCGTCCGCATAGGATTCTAGAAGTTTGTTAGTGCTAAGCTAACAGCGCTATTCACATTCATTCACATTAACATTTTTAGCAGTTACAGATTAATCACAGACATCTGAAGATTCCGAAAGACGTTCCATGTTTCACTTTACAAATATTTTACGTTGTAGCAGTTTCACAGTGACTCTGTTAGTACAGAGGCCTGGCGTAGAGCTGCAGTTTTCCATTTCTACCCAGTGATTAAGATGCTGCTCGTATTCACAGTCAGTGACATCTAGTACTTTCAGCAGCCCTAGAGTGATCTTTTTTCACTAAATTTGTCCCACCTGATTGGCAGATTCCTTTGTCATTTTAAGTAAGGCATTTTCTTCATCTTGAAGTCCTAATCACAGTCGATACCAATTCCTGATTGGCCAGTTTTCTGCTGGGTGTTTCAAGAATTTAACCCCTTTGTTTACACCCAAAACTTAACAATAAAACACAAGTAGTAGTGTAATACTTGCAGAATGTAAATACAAGTATGATTCTATTAAATAAAATGAAATAAATACAGACATTAAATCGTGAAAGCCTGGAGGGTTGCCCTCTGCTAAAAGCCCACTGTTAGTTACTGAATAGTAAGGTTTAAAATTTGTTTACTACAAGGCAGACTGGTATGGAAGCCAATCGCTATGTGATATCTTTTCCATTTTTTGCAGCCAGTAATAATTAAGGGCTTAGTTAAGATCAAATAACTGATGTTGGCTGTCTGATTACATTTGACAGTTTGACATAATGTTATCTTTAAAAAAAAGTATGTTACATAGCTAAAAACAATTATAGCAGCCATCTTGAAGCCTGAATTTTGTCTGTTTTTATCCATTTTTATAGATACCAATATATCAGAGACAACAACATACAATGTCAGAAATCGCATAAGCAAGTCCATTTAAGATTACTTAAGCTTGATGTAGTGGCAAGGTTATTAGCTAGATTAGCTTCAATGCTAAAGCACACTTTGGACACCAAACTTGTGACTTTGATTTTTTGTTTGATTTTTTTCACAAAAGTGAATTTTATTCTGTTGTTATAAATTTCTTCTGTTATGATGTTAACAAAGTCATTCAGAGTGGTCTGATGTGAAATGCTCTAAAGAAACTCAGAATAGTCAGAACTGATCACAATTTTGAGATCAGATTTTTCCTAAAATGTATTTTAAATGGCAAAGAGGTAAATGCAGGGTAAGTAGTAATATATATTGATATATAATATTATTTCTTTTACATATAATTACATATAAAACATATTACGTACAGTACAGATAAAAACTCAGAAGATACCTGTAGGTTCCACTGGTGGTTTTGGACCAACCATTGGATCACGCAGAAAAAGCAAGACAGAGAGGGAGATGGAGAGAGAGGAAGAGAGAGAGAGTGAGCCAGAGAGACGTGTGAATCGCACAAGTCCACATCAGCCCTTGTTTTCTCTGATACAGAGCCGATTGATTATCCTTCAGCACGCTGCTGTATTATGCTGTTATCTCTGGCCACAGGGCTCAGTGGGCTGCCAATCAGCTGACAGCAGCTCCACTCTCCTCTTGTGTTCTCAAACTCTCTGTAGTAATGACATCCTTCCTCCGTGGCTGCGCTCCGCTGATAAATTATGATTGTTTACATGGTGCACAGGGACACGCAAACATCCTCTGACACAATCACACTGCGCAACCTCACCCAATCAGTCCATTAATCACTCGGCTAATACAGACCGCAGCGTCCACTGCCCAAAACATCCTGTTTTTGCCATTATGAAAGAGAGACTTTAAGTGCAAACAGTCTGCTGTGCCTGTGTCCTAAAATAGCCCAGTAAAGTGGTGTGCAAAATGAAATCAATATCGAAGAGCTGGAATTTGTGGCGAGGTTGTTTGAGGACGACCTGAAGGCGATGATTCCTCTAACAGGATTTGTCTTCTCATGGAATCTTGCATTCTTTGTTATAAATATTGTGCCAGTCAGGTCCTCCAAATTCTGCTGGAAAACTATTTAAACCGCTTCAAACCAACTAAAAATAGTCAATCTTCCTGAGAACAGATCCAAGAAACAACAATGACAGAAAGATAGAAAGCACAAAATAGCAACGGAGCAAAAAAATATGAGTTTCCTTGCAGTTTTCCCTGTCTTGCTTTTGTTCTTTCCACTTCAGTTTTCCACCAATAAACCACTTGCTCTACCACTTTATAGTTTTACCCCCTAGCACTCTCTGTTTGTTTCCAAATGGTTTTTACCTTTGACATGTGGTTCTAGGAAAAAAACTTTTAATTGGTATAAAACCTTTACATTATGTAATTAAACATCTTATTTACAAAAACAGTTCTTTAAAGAGTTCTTAGGCACCAAAAGCAGTTCTTCTGTGGCAGTGGCTCTCGAACCAGTTCACAGGATCCCCTTGATGGTCCACATTTGTGTACCACCCTTGTGTTTCAGAGAGCACAATATAATTGGTCACTTGATCAGTTTTTGATTGGTTTGTTTAAGTCAGTTTCTGTGGATACCGCGACTAAATACCTCCATATCATGTTTGAGTCTCTTGCAGTCAGTCATAGACAAGCTTATATAATTTGAGGTAAAAATAGACACTTTGTGATGTTGATGCACATTCTCATTCTGATAAAGATTAGCATGACATGCTAGTCTGGTGTACTAGTAGCACGACATGTTAACTAGCCTTAGGTAAGGTTTGCTAATGTTAGCTCTGTGTAACTAGCATCTAAGTAGGCTATTAGCAAGCATGTAAATGACAGACTATGTCTTCAAAATAAGGCCAAAATATTTGGAAACATGTAAATAAGAGGGCCGTGATGGAAGTGTTTGTATTCAGTTTTCAGGTTTAACCATTTATTTTGTAATTTTCTATGTTGTGTCCATCAAAAATTGACAAAAAAGAGAAAAGAACTAGAAGTTGTTTATGAGCTCATTGATCTCTTAGAGTGCTGTACAGTGAATTGTATGCATAACAAATGAATAAGTGTGTTTCAGTATTTCAGTTTCAAGATCTAAAACCATTCAAATAAAATATCCCCCTCTCTGAATAGCTCTGAACTGTTTTAATTAAAAAAATATTGTCCCGCATTTCATGTCACAACTTAAAGACAAAGTTTTAGTCTGTAAGCAGAGCCTTATTTTAGCCACACCCCTGCATTTTAGAGCAAGAAGTGAGACTGCATCCCTCTCCCTCACCGCCACGTGGTGAACAGTTAGATCCCAATTTTTTTTCATTTGAGATGCGTCTCAAATCAGTGTGAAACATTAAGAACTGTCACTACTGAAACACATTTTCTGTAATTAAGTAAACTTTTTTGTGTTTTAATAAAGAATTTTGTGTACTACTGTTCAAACCTGTGTTTGTTTACTATGTGCCGGCTAGCGTTTTTGAGTTCTGCTTGTCACTACTGAAACAGTCACTTCTGAAACATTTGGTAAAGTTTCAGGTGTTACGATTGTTTTGGCAGTGACAAAGTGGAATGTACAGTCATTTACTAATAAAATAAGTGTAATAAAAGTTTAGAATCACTTAAAACAAAAGGATTTTAGTGTAAAGACCAAGTCAGTTAAAAGTCCTATGGATATATGGATCAACCAAATTGGTTAACGGTGAATTGTGTGAATTGTTATACCTTATTTTTTTTTTTGTTTTGAAGATTTTTATTTTAAGTTTTTATCTAAGATATTGCACCATATTTCCTAAATCATATTTGTGTTGAATTTTGCTTCTTGACCTTTCTTTGCTTGATCTCTTTTTTTCTCTCTCTCTTTGACTCTCTCTCTCCCTCTGCAGGTAGCCACAGCCTGCGCCCCCACCACGAACTATGAGCTGGTAAGATGCTATGCCTACATGTCTTTGCAAATGTTTGGAAGATACACAGAGTACATACGCATAGCTTTCAAAATAATTTCAGTATTTGTGAGCACACTACTTGCTTCATTGGCATGTCTTCCTAAGCATATATTTATAAAATATAAAATATTTATAACATGAAAACATTTTTTTTTTTTTTTACTTTTTCTCACCATTGCCACTCAAAAGGACTTACTTTCCTAAAATATCAGCTTTTTGTTGCATTCTGACTTCTTCCCTGTGCCGAGAAATCAAAATTACTGTTATATTGTACATTTATCCATGGACTTAGAGTACTGTGAAAATGTCACCATCTTTCGTTTGTTTGATTTCCATTCAAAACTGACATTAAATATAATTATTTATTTTTCAGCATCAGAAAAAGTTTAGAAAACATATTTAACATATTAAATAATATTATCAGTATTTTGAGTCTCCACCTTTTCTCTTTATTACAGCTTCCATTCTATTCAGGAGACTTGCGTTCAGTTTTTCAGACAAATCTGCAGGGATATTTTTCCACACATCCAAAGTTCAGTCTTTGAAGTTGTAGTATTTTCTCACTATCCAAGTAATCCTAAACACATGTCAGTGATGTTGAGGTCTGGACTCTGGGGTGGTCAGGCCACTGTTCTGAGAACACCAGCAGCTTCTTTGATTTGCAAATTTTCTTCCTTTTTTGACAGCTACACATTCTTTCAGACTTATAGCATTGAGTTGTCTTCTCACAGTGGAAGGATGGGCAGAAACAGCTGTGGATTTTTTTCAGATCTGAAGCAAGAGTGGAGCTTGATTTTCTCCTCTCCCTCAAATATAAAAACTTTAAGTACTGTTTGTCTGATGGTGACTGTTTTGGTGGTCTACCAGGTCTTGTGCGGTTTTTAGTTGTCTCATTTTCTCTATGTGGTGGCTGATTTTGACAGCACTGTATGTATGCATCACATGATATTTAATGTCTTTTCATTTATTGTTTATAATTAATTGACTACTAATAACAATATTAATATTAATATGCTAATATGTACTGCTAATAAGTAACTAATAAACACACACACACATATATTCCACAAGCATGCAAACAATGGGAGTGAATGGAGGAAATGCCTGAGTACCTGAGTACCCTAGGTACTACCCTAGGACATATATTGTAATAAAGCAAACTGACTCTCCTACATTTAACCACAGCCTAACTGGCAAGCCAGCAAACATCAACACTGTACTTTTTTCCCCACTTTCATTTAATTTTATTTCACAGTTTTAGGATGATAAAAGATATGTTCATGTTACACAGCAGCTTGTAGCAGATAGTAGCAAAGCAAAAGCAGTTAACCCAGAAAAAGGATCTCTAACAATGACTCTGTTAAATGCTATTAAGACTAACTATAGCAGCAGTATAAACACTACTTTGTAGTCCAAGTATATGCAGGATTAAACAACTATGGTTTGTAAACTTACAACCACAATCATATTTTAACCAAACATTTTTATATCAAAAGCTCAACAGTGTACATGCCCATACACAACAACAAGAGCCGACATGTGAACACACGGTAACCGGAGGCATAGCCAAGCATGAATCATGGCTTCTCTTCTGGGCCCCCCCAATTAGGGAAGGTGAGACAGTCCACCATCCTCAGTCAGCCATCATCAGTAAAGCATCAATTATGCTTTATGGTGAAAATCTGCCAGGATGGTAGTTACCAAACAGTAATGAGAGTCTGATGACACTGCATTTAATATTTAGTGTATCTTGCTGTGATCATCTAATTTACTCAGCAAACAGGCGAGAGAATGTGCACTGGTTCCCTTCAGTAGAGCTGCTCTGTGAGCTATGTTAAGAAGTAAACTATGTGATGGTAAGATAACAATCAAAAATTATTCAGCTATAATCATTTGTGATGCTAACTAACCTCTTTGTACACTTATATACATGCATATATTGTAGGTTACCGTATAAAGTGCTGTGTGGCTTGCTTTCTAATATACTCATGTACAATCTGTAGTGAGGGCAGCTTAAATGAATGACTTCTGTGGCCTGTCTGTATGAAATGTTTTTCTTAAAGTTATCAGTGTGCACTGAAAAAAGTGATGCACAATTGACGTACATGAATTACATTACATCAACATAGTTTTGTCCTTCTGTTTACTTTTGCCAATAGTTATATTGCTGTAATATTTTGTTCTTGTGAAAATAGAGGACAGATTTGGTTATATACAAAGATACATCACTTTTTACATCACTTTGCTTTTTTATTTAGTTTTTTCCTAGCAGCATGTCACCCCAATAAAATTTCTGGTCACCCCATTCTAAAAGATCTAGCTACAACCCTGACGGTAACTGTTATGCTGATTGCGTTCAGTTTAAATAAACACTATGCACACACTCGTATACCTAAACAGTTCTTTGCTGAAAGGACTTTGAGATTGTGTTCTAACTCTCTTTACCCATGCAGTATAGTTATAATTGAGCTGGCTCACACAGCGGGTGTGTCATGTTTGATTGATATGCAGCAGGCATGGCGGAGGCACAGGAGACTTAAAGCACACACTTGTGACATTTTTCAATTGTGAGAACTAACATTGGAGGTCAGGGGTCAAGGTAAGACCCGTTTGGAGGATAGCTTGCTGTGATTCAGACTGGCGAGTCCTTTCAGCAAATGTTTTTGTGATATGTCGATACTGTCGCCATTTTTCTATGCTGTGAAAGATCTAGGCTAGCTGATGCTGCTTGTATTTGCATCCATGCCTATATGCTTTTAAAAAGAAATGATGTTTTTCACTTGTAGGGCAGTTCTAGATCAGTTGTCACCTTCAAGTGTAAGATTTAGAAGCAATATTGGAGTAACATTTTCTTCAGAGTCCCTTAAGTTTTATGTATTTATTAGGTAAGTGTGAGGTACAACTTTTCATATCAAGAAAGCTGCAGTTGTGCATTTTATTTCAGCACGGGCATCTTTGTGGAGATGTGCAAACTGTTTTTACAGCAGACAGTTTTCACTACTCACCTTTCACCCTTCATTGAGAGCCAGCAGTGTCCTAGTTACTCTAACTGTGCAGCAAAAAATATATTTTTAAAATTATATTAATAGATTGCCATTCTTTGGGCACGACCACAAGGTTTTACCGCAGCATCAGAATGTTGATATGAGATGGGAAATCGGTTATGTCACGGCTGTAGTCAAACTACACACAGAGAGAGTGGGAGATTATTACAATGGTTGAAAAAATTGGATGAGAGAGAGAGACAGTTACGTTGGCTGAATATGTAACATTTTAAAAACAAAATTAGGCTGTGGTGTGGAAATAGCGTATGACTTTGGAATTTTATCAGCACAAAAGCGGTCAACAGTTGGCGAAGGACGCAATTCGCTTTCCTCTAAAGGGCAGCGTTAATTTAAACAGTGCATGGCTACTAAAAAAAAAGAGTCTCTTCTGCACATAAAATATTTAAAAGTCCTGTTCTTTTAGGTTATTATCCTGTTATTTTTCTGTTATTCTTTTGAGCAATTGCAGTTAATTAATCCAGAAATCTGGTGGGTGCTGCAATCCCCTCAACACATGTATTTCTCATATCCTTGGCAATTTAATATTGATTAATATGGGAGCTGTATTTGTTCCGTCAGACACATGACTAAAACTCTTCATATATTATTGTGTTTAAGAGTGATTTAGAGAATGAATATTTGAGTACTCAATTGTAAATATTCATGAATTTTCAAAGCCTATAAAATGCTGTTTGGTCCAGCTGTAGTAATTTACCCCAGACTAATTCTGTGTGCTCTGTACTATCAGCTTATTTGCAGTTCTATATGTAGTTACATCAAATCGAACAAACCTTGATATTAGATGCTTGTAAGGGAAAAATATCAATACCAGTATCTGTTCAATGCTGTATCTGGACTGCTGAGTGTAGTGTGTGTGTTTGACAAGTTAAATTGATTGTGCATGAGTCTCAGGTGGATTAACAGTGCTGTATCTCTCTCTCTCTTTCTCTCTCGCTCTCGCTGTCTCTCTTTCCTTTTCCAGCCTCCCAGTAACGATCTCCCTCTGAAGCATGTGGAGACTCCGGTAAGTCACATTCCACTCTCGACCTTACGAATTCTCCATTAATATGCACATAAATGTGACTATACACTACCTGTATTGTGGATTTGTATTGTATGTTTGTCCAAAGCACATTAGCACATACCTACTGAGTGACCGAATATGAATCTTTAGGCTCATGTTTAAACATGTGGTTTGGCTGTGTTAGGACTGTATTGTTTATCTCAGCTCTCAGAGGTTAAAGAGAAGGGAAGGCATTAGGACTTTGAGAGATTATTTTCGTAAATGAAGTGCCAGAAAATAATTGAATAAGTCCAGTTTATGGCACTGCCAGTTTGCCATTTTATCCCCTAATGGCAACCTGTTTTTGTATTATTTGAAGCAGGTTCTTAAACGAAAACTCCATTGTTTTTTCCATCTGTATCTGCAGTCGATTGTCACAGACAGTAATTTCAGTGCATATTTTCAGCATAGGCTGAAATAGGCCATAGGCTTCTACTATGTCTTTTGCAAAGTGCAGAGAAATGTGTAGAAGTTATTATCCATACTAAGTGATTCAATGCTTCAGATAGAGATTATGCTGAAAAAACAATGTTCCTTGAATTCCTTTTATTTTGCTTTGAATTTAAAGCCGTACCATGTAAAACATGTAAAATATGCTAGGAGTTTTACAGACCTTCAGACATCTTTACATATTAACCTCACACACAGAGGCTCAAAGAGAAGGTCTCACTCAAAGTTTAGCTCTCAAATGCAAAATCAACTTTTATACTGATGAAGATGATGACAATAGTGGGAAATTCACTCGCATCCTTCGGAACACATCCTTTACCAAGTTTGGACTCTTTAAATACTCTTTCAAAGTACTCAGATTCATCTGCTTGTGGGGGTCTGAAGCACAACCCACCTTACAAAATGTTCCTCCATATGTTGCATGCAATTACACATTTCCACCAGAGAGGTCTCCAAATCCCCAAATCTTACCTAGTGTAGCTTTTAAGAACTTTATCTCAGATAAACAGCATAAAGTATAGTGAAAGCAGCCCGCCCCATCTGCGCTGTCCCAAAGTGATGCATTCTCTCCTCTACTCCAGTCACAAAAGAGGATTCAAAGCCACTTTGTTAGTCTGATTATGGGTTTTAAGGGATTTTAGCATTTCTGGGTCATGGCCCTTCTACTGCAGTAGAAACTGTTCATAAAAAAGCATCAGTGCCAGATGTGAGTAATGCTGCGGCTGCATATGCTTTGGAGGGGGGAGCGCAGGGCCAAATTTTAAGCGCACTCATACAGTTGCAGGATCACAAGATATGTTCATTACATGCTTGAATCTGACGAGTGCACATATGGGTTTCATTACAGTGATTTATTCTTGGCATTATTAACATGTATGAAGCCGTTTTGGATCGAAACTGTGCTAAGCTGCTTTGACACAGACAATTTGATCCAGCCATTAAAGCAAACAACACCGTTAGGACGCTGTACGTACCAGAGGTGGATACAGTAACCTATCTCAGGTATTGTTACTTAAATGAAATAAAAAGTAAAAGTAAAAGTAGTGAGCTCCCTATAAAACGTTTTCCCTTTTATTTTTACCCAGTATTCTCCCCATTTAATTGTGCTCACTTCCAACCACTAGCTAGGTTTGCCCCTATCACATGAGGCTATCAATTCTTAGTATATCCAGCATCTAGCAGCATAGCAACTGAAGTCTATTAAGTGGTGTTCTTATCTTTTTGGGAGACTTTTGGTATCCTTTTGGCTGAGCAGTTATGATTTGGGTCATGGATCATTCTCAGCACAGCAGTGACACTGACATGGTAATAGCATAGTAGTGCCATTAGTAAAAACAGAGGATGACTGACAAATTGTGCATGGAAAAAGATGAGCTGTAGTCTCTAACTGCACACATACAAGGTGCACCAGCAAGATTAGTGTCCAATAAAGTGGCCAGTAGATGTACACTGTATGACCAAAATTATATGGACACGTGACTCACCTATATGAACTTGGAATGGACATTTATATGGAGTTGCCCCCCTTTGCAGCTATAACTACTCTTCTAGGAGGGATTTCCACAAGATTTTGGAGTGTGTATGTGGGAACTTGTATCCATTTATTCAAAAGAGCATTTGTGAGGACAGGATATGATGTTAGATGAGAAGGCCTGGCTTACATTCCACTTCATCCCAAAGGTGTTAAGTAGGTTTGAGATCAGGACACTGTGCAGGCCACTGGAGTTCCACACTAAACTCGTCAAACCATGTCTTTATGGAGCTCACTTTGTGTACAGGGGCATAGTCATGCTGGAACAGGAAAGGGCCTTCCCCAAACTGCTGCTACAAAGTTGAAGGCATTTAATTGTCTAAATATCTTTATATGCTGTTGCATTAACATTACACTTCACTGGAACTTAGGGGCAGAGCCCAAACACTGAAAAACAGCCCCAGACCATTATCCCTCCTCCACCAAACTTTACTGTGGGCACTATGCATTCTGGTAGGTCACGTTCTCCTGGCATCTGCCAAACCCACATTTGTCCATCAGACTGCCAAATAAAGAATCATGATTCATGACTCTAGAGAACACAGCTCCAGAGTCCAGTGTTGGTGTCCTTTACACCTGACCAGCCAACGCTTGGTAATGCGTATAGTGATTTTAAGCTTGTGTGTAGCTACTCGGCCATGGAAACCTATTTCATGAATCCCTGATGCTCAGTTCTTGTGCTGAAGTTGCTTCCACAGGCAGTTTAGAACTCTGCAGTGAGTGATGCAGTAGAGGACAGGTGATTTTTACATGCTATATGCTTCAACACTTATCGGTGCCACTCTGTGAGTTTGCGTGATGCTTCCATTTTGCAATAATAGCACTTATAGTTGTCCATGGCAGATCTAGCAGGGCAGATATTTCACTAACTGACTTGTGGCAAAAGTGGCATCCTAAAACAGTGCCATGTTTAAAGTCACTGAGCTATTCTTAGGTTATAGAAGTGTGTAAAAAACTGGCCTGTTAAAGGCTCATTTATGCTCCCTTTACATACAAAAAAGAACACGTCCGTTTTAAACGATGTAACCGTCACTGCCTGCATACATCTATGCGTCCTTTACAGTGGGATGTTAAGCCGTACATCCACTACAATGCAGTCCAGAGTATAACATTTCTGACAACAAACATAAGTATCCGTAAGCTTTCAGATAATGTGCACAAATATGGACAAAATTAATGCAGAGTATGCAGGGAAGCCTTCGTCTGTATCTGTATCAGTATCTATATTTAATGTTGAGCATAAATACGCCTTCCAGGGGTTAACCACAGCTGTCCTATCAGGTTTTATTTGGCACTTTGGGTGATGTTAGACTGGTTCATGTCAGCTTCAGACATAATTTTGTTGGCCTCAGGTCAGATATAGTTCAAGTCAGTTTGAGTTTGGACAAAACTTATTGCTGTGGGTCTGGTTGGACTGGGAACAGAAAGTTCTTAGGCTGTATTCGGGTTTTTGGGCCAAATTTTTTACAGATTTCCTGATTTTTTTGATGATATTATGCACCGCAGAAGCTGAAATACCTAAAATCCTCTCAAATGTTTGTTGTGGAACAATAAGTTTTTTCTTAAATTTGTTCTTGAGAAAGGTCCTAAAAAAATCTACATCAGATTCATGATGTGTTCTTAAACTGGAGAATTGTTCACACTTTTTTGCTCTTGAGTGTGTGTAGATTTTGTTCTTACTCAAGAACAAATCCCAAATAAGAAAATCAGAATATTTGTGAAAACTGTGTAGGTGGGTATTAAGAAAAAAATTCTTCTTAAGGACGTTTGGTGAATGAGGCCCAATGTTCTTAAACTGTTGGACTCTTTGCTGAGCAAGCCTTGACCCATCCTTACTCATAAAGGAAATGGCTTTTCTTGGGTTCTTCTTTTATCCAAACATAATTACATCACCACTTTTAAAACATTTTCATTTAACAAAGTTCCTAGTCCAAGTTGCTCCTGTACCAACTTTTTTTGGAATGCGTTGCAGGCATGAATTTCAGAATAAGCATAAATTTCTGAAAAACAATGAAGTTGATGTGATAAAACATTAAATATCTTTATACTGTTTTCATTTAAACACAGGTCGAATTAGATAGTTAATAAATCACTCTTTCTGTTTTTATTTATTTTTCACATACTGTCCCAACTTTTTTGGAAGTGGATTTTTATAATGGACATTTTCATTTCACTTACAAAGGTTGTATTAATTATAATATAGAATTGATATGAACAACGTATATCATGAAAAAAGTGAAAGTGGCCTATAACACTCTTCAATTGTAATTGTAATGCACCTCTTCTAGATGTAATTGATAAATGTATACAAATTTGTATCATGCATATTTTATTACCTAATAAACTGGCAACTGAAGAGTAAATGGAACTAGTTATTAGCCAACTCTGGTAAATACTTAAAGAATCTCAGAGAGAGGGAAGGAGGCAGTGAGAAGGACCAGAGATGTCTAGTTTGATATCTTACTGTGTCATATCTCTGAAAAAGTAATTACGGAGTTACCCAGGCTCCCTGACTGACCTCAAGCCGTCCCTTGTGACTCTGCTTGCGGTTTAGCCAGCCATCCTTACTCTGAAAATACTCTAGATTGATGCGCCTTCGGGCTCTCTGCCAGCTCCTCCATTATATAACCTCCAGCCGGCCTTTTGGGCTCTCTGTCCATCGATTACTACACTCGTTTCAGCCCATAGGCTATTACTATTCACCGGCATTGTTTACACATAAGCAGTGCAAGATGCTCTTTCATTGTCTTAGGTGAGCTACTATTAGTGGAAGTGATTTTTTTTCTCATGTCATATTATTGGTGCAGAAACAGGAAACTGCAGGCTGTTTTTATTGGGCTAGTGTGGAGCACAGCGCGCTGGGAGCTATGTGTGAGATCCCCATTGTTTTCCTAATTGAATCGGCATGGGTCCATCCGGCTGGGTCAAGAGAGGCTCGAAAATGCTCAAATGAAGGCCAGACTACCAAAAGAGCTCACAG